AAGTAGTTAGGGGTCTAACATTATTTCCCCAATGAAGTTACACACACTTAAGTACCAATAAGCAGAAAGTTTTACACAAAAATCAAAGAATTTGATTTGCTTTTCAAAAATTCAAAACCAAAAATCCCAAACCCTGACACCTGACTACTGATGTGTGAAGACACTGTGCAATTAGCCAATTAGGGTATCATTTATAACAGCAGCAGTTAAACATACAGAAGACTCACACCTGAAGCACAAAATTTAAACAGTAAACAGGGGCACAATCATGTTTAAAAAGTAAATAGGGGTCATTTTTTTTTAAAACAAAACTGCCAGTTAAAAAGGTAACTTACTACCAGGACTGGGATTGTGGCTCAATGATAGAGCACTCACCTAGCATGTGTGAGGCACTGGAATCAATTCTCAGCACCACTTAAAAAATAAAGGTATTGTGTCTATCTACAACTTAAAAAAAATTTTTTTTAACTTTCCTCTTACTGAAAAATATACTTATTTTATATATTTATTATATATAAATTATATATATATACTTATTTATATACTGTTATAAATAAAAAATAAAAAGGTGCCGGGTGCGGTGGCACACACTTGTACTCCCAGTGGCTCAGAAGGCTGAGGCAGGAGGACTGCCAAGTTCAAAGCCAGCCTCAGCAAAAACTAGGTGCTAAGCAACTCAGTGAGACCCTATCTCTAAATAAAATACAAAATAGGGCTGGGGATGTGGCTCAGTGGTTGAGTATCCATGAATTCAAACTCCAGTACCCAAAAAATAAAAATTAAAAAATTATTAAAAAAAAAAAAAGGTAACTACCATTTAAGGTAAAAGTGAATGACAAATAAATGCAATGTGGTATCTTGGACTGAATCATAGGAACAGTAACCTGAATGAAGCCTACAGTTTAGTTAGTAGTAATGCATGTATGTTAATTTCTTAGTTTAACTGACCAATGTACAACTATTCTATAGATGTAGACAAAATCCAAAGTAAAAAGCTTATTTTTAAAAGGTGGATGACAAAGCAATGACAGATACACACAGCCACTGTTAGGTATTACCTCTTGATTTAGAATTTAAGAACAGTTAGCCTTAAGAGCAAAGGTCATTACAGTATACTGATTTTGCAAGCTATTTTAAAATATATGGAATATCTTGAGTTTAATGATATTCCTTTCTTAAAAAATAATTTTTAAAAATTTCTTTTGTAGTTATAGATGGACAGAATGCCTTTGTTTATTTTTATGTGGTGCTGAGGATCGATCGAACCCAGTGCCTCACACATGCCAGGTAAGCGCTCTGCCAGAGACTTCAGCCCCAGCCTATATTCCTAACTTTTAAAGAGAAGGGACTTGTCTTTTTCCTAGCGTTCTTGCTTAAAACACTGAGTTTACGGTATTGAATACTGTCACTGTTACAAACCAGTAAAAGTTTCTAAGTTATCTCTGCTTTTCTAATCTCGAATAAGACAATTATTCAATCAGAACATAAAGAAGCATTTCTCACCACATATAAGGTATAATATGAATTTGAAAGTCTAATGATAAGTGACATTTCCGAGTTTGGTGCTGAAGGCAGGCACAGGTCCCATCTGTTTCCATAACACAGATTCTCTTAATCTATTACCCAAAACTGAAAATAAGAGTTAATAAAGTGATGTAGAACTCACTAGGGAATTTTTATTTCCAGGGCCAAATGATGGACATTAATACCACAACTTTTTAAATAAAGTACATGGACATTTGTTGAGAATCATATTAAGTGACTCTGAACTTTACTAGCTATGTTCAGCAAGATGGCTGATGCTTTCACCAGCTGGGGTCTGCAAAGAAAGGGTTTACTTGCATACCAGAAGGCAAATCCTATACTACAAATTGGTGAAAGAGGTTTAAAGCAGCATTAAGTTCAACGTGTACACCACACACATATAATCACATGAACAAGTATGCTCAGCTCAGCTGATGGGCATTTTCTAACGCTTTAATATACATGTGATTTAGAGGGCAATTTTCAAATTTCAAAGAAATCTTAATAATCTTTTCTTATTTCAAAGAAGGAAAAAATAAACACAGCAATGCAGCAAAGTCATTTCTCCAGCTGAAATGACCTCCAGCTTCTATGGGCTACTCCCGGTTTCGCAATAAATGAATCTGAGACTCAACCCACGTACACACAAACAGCAGAAGCAAGGAACACTAAAGCTTTCTCAAGTCCTGGAAAACACACCTGCTTCCCCCCACCCTCCAAGTTCCCCTTCCCTTCCGCCCCATACACAGTTACCTTGACATCGACCCCCCAAAAGAACGAGGAAGAGAGAACAGCGAACGAAATCCTGTTTTAAATCATTTGCGGTCACAATCCGGGGAGCCAGAGTACTACTAACCTGATTTCAGGGAGGCAGAACTAAACCCAAGAAGGCACCGGGGCATAGTATACGTATCTGAACCGCCAACCCAGCTAACTGCTCAAGGAAGCTCAGATGTCAATTTACCGAAAAGGTTCTGGCAAATGGTATCTCAAATGAACAGTTCCACCCACCAACCTCCCGATTGCTAGTACCCATATTCGACTGAAGCAACCCGGGAGATAAGAAGCAACATGCCTTACCTTGTACAAATCTCGACATTTTAAGGTTTTATTAAAATATTCTGGCTTATATATTTTTTTTTAATTTCTAGAGGAGTCTCGCTATAGGGCAGGTCTCTCTTCCTCCTCCCCTGCTTTTACCAACCGACGTGTTCTTGCTCCTCGAATGTTTGGATACTTAAGGGAGTATTCATTCAAAGCGGTTAAAAAAAAAAAAAACCCTTCCCCAATTCCAAAAGACGGAAACTTGGTGCGACGGAGTCTGCCTAGAACTCCTGGCTACACTGCGCTCCTGACACAAACCAGGGCCAGCTGGAGACTCCCGGAAAAGGTAAAAACCACACGAACTTAAATTTCATCAATGAAAGAGGCGGACCCAGAGCAGCTATTTCACCGCCCCTCGGTCCCCACGCCCTCTGGGGCTGGACTGCAGCAGACACCAAGGGCCGCGCCCCCGCGGGCCCCCTCCCCAGCGCCACCGTCCAGCCACTGGCGGGTTCCCCGGAAAATCTTAGCCAACAGTGGCTCCGGCCCGAGCAAGGGTCAGGGAGGCGCGTGAGGCCGGCAAACCGGGCGATGCAACCATTTTTACCAGCCCATAAATATCCTGGGACCAGGAGGCGCTGTGAATTCCGCACTCGGGCAAGCCAAGTGACCCGGGCCTCTCGGTATCCGCCTTCTCGCCCGGAGCAGCAAAAGCGGCTGCGGCTTTTTTCCAGGGAGACAGAAGGCTACGCCGTCCCTCCCCCCAGGACACTAAGAGACCCCGGGCTAGCGGCGACCTGTGCACCCGCCTGGGACTCCCCAGGGAAGGCCCCCCACCCTTCCTGCATATTCTTTTCCCGAATTCGGCCTCGGGGACCACACAGCGGATGAGGAACTGGGTTCTACACCTCTCGGAGAGGGAAACGCACATCCCCCCGGGGGTCAACAGAAGTCCAACTCCGCCCCTTCCCCAGCCGCCAGCAAGACCCACCTTCCCGTCTTCCTTCAGCCGCTGGGAAATTGGGGGCGTTTATGGCGCCCCGGGAAGAAGACTCGCAGGCTGAATGTCACCTCTGAGGCACCCTTCTCTCTCCCTCTTTTCCCTCACACATGCACACCTTGGGTCCTTCGCTAGCAATCGCAGCCCAGTTGATGACCCCCTTTACCCACCCGACTGCGGGATCCCGGCACCCAAAACCCCCACTTTCTCCCAAACACCTCCCCTCCCCCTCCATTCACAGCAGCCCCCCTCAATGCGGAAATGTACCTACCAAGCAGACCGACATGCGCAGCCGCCAGTCCGGAGCTGAGGTTAACGCAGGGCCTGGCCAATGAGACTTGCGGAGGTGGCAGGGGGCGGGGCATTTGCAGCCTGTGCCGCCTGAGGGAGCCCAGCGTGGGCGGGCGCTGTAGCGGGCGCGGGAATCCCGCGCGTGGAAGCCGCGCCTGTAGTAGTGGTAGGGCAAAGGCTATTTGCCCAGTAACACTTCCTGTCTTCTACGTATACTTCAGCAAAGGAGAGAACGTAAGCACCAGAGGATATTTTTTTCAGTTAGTAAAAAATGCCCCTCCTTACCAAGAATTGAAGAAACCTGGGAGGACGGAGCTAGAACTTGCCAAAGCAGCTTCTCAAACCGAGAGCCCTGAACCTTCTCTTTAGACCCTAACTCTACTCAACGCGTCTGGTTTGAGAAGGGTGAAGATGCGTTCAGAAATAAGCAGCGGGATGTGTGTGGCCTAACAAGAGCAGGGCTTTAGGAGTCAAGGCTCCCTCACCAGGATCACTACTATCTCCCTTGCCCCATCCTATCCTTGTGGAGATTTGTGTTGTAATAGGCCTTTACTTTTCTGATCAATGTGGAAATGGCTCAAGTTATCATCAAAAGAGATGCTTTCCTTTTGGTAGATCCTTGAAGTCCTCAAAGAGAATGTTAAACAATGGAATGTTGACTCTAGCCTGGGGACTGTGATAGGGAGCTCCAAATCACACCTGGTATTACTAACCCCACCTACGTGTGGGGTTAAGTGTCTCCAATAAATCAAGTACTTCCAAAAGAATCTAAGACTTTGGGCAACATTATTCAACAATGGTAAAGTGAGAAATTTTAAATGATTCATTCTCTAAACAAAGGAACTTTATAATTTTTTTTTAGTTCCACACATTCATATGGAAATGTTCTTAAAACAACACAAAAGACCAGTGAGCATTGGTACTGTTTCTTTTCTTTTTTTTTTTTTTTTTTTTTTAGATTTTTTTTTTTAAAGAGAAAGAGGGAGGGGGAGAGAGAGAGAGAATTTTAATATTTATTTTTTAGTTTTCGGCGGACACAACATCTTTCTTTGTGGTGCTGAGGATCAAACCCTGGCCGCACATATGCCAGGCAAGCATGCTACCGCTTGAGCCACATCCCCAGCCCCAGTACTGTGTTTCTTAATGAGGAATCCAAAGAGAGTACATCCAGAATCTCTCAGTTATAAAACTAATTACCCCCAAATGAGACCAGAGAAGTATCTAAACTACAACTTACTAACAGCATTGGAGACGTCTTAGAATTTCTACGTCTTTTGTTAATAGTACAGAAATTATTCCAGCCCTGAATGAACTGCATTTATCAATTAAGAATCAAATACTACCAAAAATTAAGGATCCCCCCCAAGGGTTACTTAGCCTATTGTCCCCATAAGGGACAATGAAGAGTCTCTTAATATACAAGGGTTACGAATGATCAATTGTTTTCTACCTTCACTGATGATTACGGGAAAGGAAATAGTTTTTAATGGCAGCAAAAGTGCTTAGTAATTCCCAAGAATGACATCTTGATTTATGAGTGATTATATATCAAGATATAGTACCAAAGGATGTTGTATATTAATGCCTCAAGAAATCCCCAAAAAAGGAGCTATTCATTTTTAGTGTTTATAAACACTAAGAGAAGTCGCTCTCTAGAAGCCATATTCCCAAATATTACTTTCAAATAATGTCCTGCTAATGGAATTTCTTTATACAGAGACTTAAATTTAGAACCCTTGAAGTCTTTGTAAAACAGCTTCCTACCCCCCCCAGAGAACTAATTCTTCAAGACCATGGAGCCATGGCATGCTTAAAGGCAATTGCCTATTTCTCCTCATACAATTCAGCCCCTGAAAAATTACCTACTCTGGGTATGTCTCTCTGTATGTGTTTTTAATTTTTTTTCATATATACTATTATGTAATATCCCTACAGGGTACAAACCTTTGCAGAAACCTTGGGAGGGACAATCTCAAGAAGGATGAAAATGGAAGGCTAGGAAGAAGTATGTGAGCAGGGATAAGGAGTTGGAATGAGATGGATTGCAAACTAAAAAGAAGCCTGCAAGCCAATTTTTCTCGACCATATGCTACCATCCAAGGATGATATAAATTCTGCCTCTAATTTTCTTCATTCCTCTTTCTACTTCCCCATAGAAACATGAGAAAATTCAGATTGGTTTAACCAGTCTAGTGTCCTGGGATGTAATATAACCTCACCATATCTTTTTCCTTTTCTCTAGATAAGAACTTTCTATCAACAACAAGAAAACAATATCTGCTGCCATATTTCTGAGCATTCTTTTTTTGTGCCTGTTTAGATTTAGTGCTAGACATAGTGGCACACAGCAAGCAATCCATTAGTATATATTGAATGACCATTTTAGTGCCACTAAATCTTTTTAACTCACAGTATTGTATCCTGCTCTTTACTCTCTGGGAACCATAAATAAAACATTTTTGGAGGAAAAGATTTTTAAGTTTCAGTTATTTCCTCCCAGAATTTAAACCTAGTCCAAAGTATAAGAATACAATAATAACAGCAAATACAATGCCTTGGTGACTTTACAGTAAGTTTTGCTAACTCTCCACCTTTAGCATTATCTAGTAAGAGGTGGTTTAGAAATTGCTAAAATATGAAATAAGTATACAAGTCAGCAATGTGTGTGATCTTTTATTTTTTTCTTAACTACCCTTCCCTATCCTCTCAAGAAAATAAAATAGTACATTATTTTTTTTGAGGAAACATGTCATAGACATAAAATTTTCTATGTCATGCCCAAAGTGTTGCGCCAAGAGACCAGGCAACAATTATCTACTGGACTGCTGCCCACACTCAATATTGACTCCATCTAAAATCCTAGGCCACCCACATGAAAGAAGCAAAAGGGACTACTGTTTTGTCAGCAGATGCCAGTTACTGACTAGATTTAACAATAGGGCACTCTGCTTGAATCAAAAGGTAACCAAACAGGGCTTACTGTAAAAGATACCAAATTATACCTATGAGATGGACTGCTGATGAACAAGTAATCTAAAAATGAATGGGGTTTCCAAATACTTGAGGAAGAGAAAGACTACATTCTTTCCTGTTGCCAACACCCTGTTGGTAATGAATCAGGAAGTTTGCTGAAACAAGTTTTGAATTTAAATTGTGACATGTCCTTCCATTTGTTCACAGTGTGATTTTTAAATTATATTTGAGAGTTATATAACTTTTATATCAAAACAGTATCAATTATTTCAAACTGAGTTGCTTTAAAAAAAAGGAGTTATTTCATATTACTGATAGCTATCTGAAGAGTTGATAAGCCTTTCTTCTCAGTGGTTTTAAGTCATTAGGCTCAAAAGAATGCAGTTTAACCACAATACACATTATCTCATTCACATTTATCAATAATTTCCCTCTAGGTTTTCCTTTAAGAGTTGAAGAAGGGGGCTGGGGATGTGGCTCAAGCGGTAGCGCGCTTGCCTGGCATGCGTGCTGCCCGGGTTCGATCCTCAGCACCACATACAAACAGAGATGTTGTGCCCGCCGAAAACTAAAAAATGGATATTAAAAAATTCTCTCACTCCTTCTCTCTCTGTCTCTCACACTCTCTTAAAAAAAAAGAATTGAAGAAGGCAGGTCCTTGCTATGTCTTCTGGTGGTTCTGTCCTGCATGTTCTCCAGGGGACAGTGTTGGTGAGAAGTAGTGATGCCATTGTTTTATTTCAGCCATGTGCCACACTATACCTTCAGATCCCCTTCTGATTATAGAGGCAGAGAATTATTTTACTTCAGTGACTAGGCCAGAAATAAACATAAAAAACATATTATATACTTTTTAATAAGCATGGATCATTATGTGAACACAGTTTAGAAATATAAAAAGAAAACTCAATAAGAAATAACACATATCTTACTAAAGTCCTAAGACAGAACAAATATTCTACTTTACTGTAGTGATATATGTACAGATAATGAGGTTACTTATTATTGACTTTGAAATCCTCATAGAGAAGAGCTGTGAAATAGACGAGATTTCAGTTTAATCCTATTTTTTCCTCTTCTTTCAACTATATTCAAGATTCCCTGTTGTGCTTTCCATCAAATGACTTTTGATAGTTTTCCAAATATCTCTGCCGCTGGTCTAGCTTATTAAGTTTCCTGCCACTGGGAAGCAAAGGATAAAGAATTTCTATTTCCTAACTTAGTCTTAGGGAATTCATTTTAAGCATTTTATACCTACCACCATAACTAAATATTACAGAGAAGATTCTCAGTACTGTTCTTTGGATGAAGCTTAGATAATTAAGTAATTATATGTCATTAAATGAGAAATATGATTAGAAAATAAAAAGTAATGGTGTTTCCTCTTTAGAATGAAAAAGAAGAAGAATGTTATATAGAGAGAAAAGACCACAGGAAAAAAATGTGATATATTAACATCAAGTTCTGGTGTCATTTTATATTAAATTTTAATTTTTTAATTTCACTAGAGGTACATATCTTTTTTTAAAAAAAATCCAAATACAGTAATACCAAACTGCACATAATGAAGAGCAGTATTCTCCTGCCCTGCTTGTCTTTATTTCAAACCTATACCCTAGAGGCAACCATTTTTCATCTGATAGTTACTGCTATATTTCTAAACGTTTATATTGCATTATGCTTCTTAAATTACATTTCTTTGGTTTCTTGATTTTAGGCATTATATTTTGGCTTCCTATCATAATAGATAAGGACTTAGTTCACACCTCCAGTTTTTCTTTTCTGCATTTCTACTAGTTTTCTAAACTTGTAAAGCTATGTTTCCTAACCTTTTCATCATTATGACTCAGAGAATAAATTATAAAATTTATATAGCATATTGGGATAACTTAGAGAGAATTTTTGGACATTTATATTGGGCACATAAAGAATTATTTGCTTTATGGGGCTGGGGTTGTGGCTCAGTGGTAGAGCACTTGCCTACCATGTGTGAGGCACTGGGTTCAGTTCTCAGCACTGCATATAAATAAATGAATAAAATAAAGGTCCATCAACATCTAAAATTTTTTTAAAGAATTATTTGCTTTGTAAATGTATATAATGTTATGAAAATAAAAATGAATGCAAAGTAATAAAGAAAATATTAAATTTATATAAAACTCTAAGGTAAAATCTTTTCAAGTATATAAATGGGAAATTTGAACCTGTCTGAAGGAACATAACCCTTTTTAATCTGATTTTATGCTTGAATAGTTAGTTACACATAGTTTCTGATCAAGTTTTCCAATAATAACCTTTTCAAATTTTTGGTTGTCACTATGGTAGGCTAAATAACAATCTCCAAAGATATCTATTTTCTTTTTTTTTAAGTGAAGATAACCTCAACATTTTGTTATTTTCATAACAAAACAAACAATGAAGCTTAGAACTGCATCACTTGGTCCTTTCTCTTCTTATCTCCTCCTAGTTCAAAATGCTTGCATCTCTTAATAGCCAGCATTCTCTTAGATCTGCAGTTAGGCTCAACATACTCAAGCCTCAGCACAATCTTCTTTGTAGTTTTAGCCTTTTTCCTGAAAATTGGCTTAGTCTGCCCACCATAGCCATTCTGTTTCTTGTCATACTGCCTCTTTCCCTGTGCATACAGAGAATCCTTGCCTTTCTTGTACTGTGTCACTTTATGGGGTTGGTGTTTGCCACATTTCTTACAGAACATCTGGCGGGTCTTAGGAACTTTCATCATGTTTGTGAGAGCATTATTGGCAAGGAAAAAAAGCAAGACATCTATTTTCTAACCACTGGAACTTGTGAATGTCATCCTTTATGGTAGCAGGAATTTTGCAAATGTGATTAGAGATATTCAGATGGAGAAATTATCTTGGACCGTCTGGGTGGACCATAAATGTAACCACAAGTCACTCATAAAATATAGGCAGAGAAGATTTGAAGACAGGAAGAAGGCAGTGGGATGGTGGAAGCAGGGGGAGAAAAGGCGATGTCATGAAGGGCCATGAGCCAAGGAATGCCAATGTCCTCCCAAAACCAGAGAAGACAGTGGAGTCTCCTTGAGAACCTCCAGAGGTAGCACAACCTTGCAGACATTAGTTTACATCAAGAAAAACCTATTTGGGATTCATAAGAGCATGGGTATATGTTATAAGCCATGCATGGTCATATTTATATGTAGAAAACTAATATTGCTACTATTCATGAGAAACTTTGCACAAATAGGTGATAAAATTTGCAACCATTCAAAACTGTATGATGGTTGAAATTATATTCAGAGTCCAACAGATCATTCTCTTTCTTTTTAATTGACAGATGCAATGGAGAAATTGAGTGTGATAAGGCAAATGGATTTTTAATCCAGTTGAACTGTTTTCGAGAAAGTATTTTAAAATAATGATGAAGCTTTCATTTGTAAAATATTCATGCATTCTTGGATTAGTCAGACCAAAACTACTTTGGATGCTGTTAAAAGGATATGTCAACTGGAAACAATCAGAAGTATCTGGTGTCAGTGAGGTTAGAGTTTCAGAGCTACCACGGTTCCACCATCCAGGAGGTCCATTGCGGTTGGCAATCTATTGAGCACAGCCAAGGATGGTTGTGCTCCAGAAACCAGCTCCCAAGCACATTGCTATTCACCTTGGATAAGACGCCTGTGGAACTTTTGGACGTTTTTCACTGTCTATGACACTCTGGAGATTTTGCTCTTCTTTGGTCACCCTCCAAGATGCTCTAGTAACGGCTGCTAGCAGCTAAAGTAATCCAGGCCAGGTGCTCCCAAATTGTCTGCCCCAAGGCCTGAAAGGATTAATCAGTCTTCACAGCTGTAAAGCCAACAAAAATACTATTAGAAGATTCTGGTCTGTATTGCCCTTCCCACCATTAGCTGGGCAGCACATGAGAGAGAAAGAGGGAAAACTTGGAGCAGAGAGTACTGCCAGGAGGCAGGCCATTCTCAATTATCTGTGACTTTCATCCAGAGTTTTACCGAGAAAGCATTAGAGGTCAACAAAGTTCTAGCTTTGCACAGATCAGTACAGTAATGAATTAAAATCAGATTATTCAAATAATAGAAATAAACTTACTGAAGACTGGCAGGATTAGAAGCATCACAGACAAATTTAGAGACTTTCAGCTATTTGATATGTAGGCCTTTCTAAAACCAGCATGGGATGGAGATCAGACACAGCCACAAATAGAGTAATAGAATAATGAAAGAGAAAAGGATACAGATAGACCAAAACTTTCTTTAAGCCCATGTTAGACTAAGTGTGAAGGAATAAATACTAAAATTGCACTGATAATTATTTTAAATTTTTGTATTCATGTACTTTTATATATGTATTTTGACACACATTTGTATGTGTTCATAAATTCTTGAGCGCAAGATATGTATATTCCTGAGGCCAAGTTGTGTATATATCTGATTAAATTTTCTGCTTAGTAAAATGGGTATAGTACAGTTCATTCTGTAGTGGAAATTGTTATAATCATTTTCATCTAAACCTTTTTGTTGTCTTTAGATATGGAATATTATGTCATATTTTTAAAATGACTCTTTTTTTTCAATCTGATGAATCCAAATGACAGTCTAGATTCTGAGTCCAGAAAGATTTGGGAAATAAGCAGCGTTTCTTGTTGTAGATGGTGCTCTACGTAAGGTAGTGTACATTATATGATCAATCTGTAAAGCTGTAAACACTGAAGTCCCTTCAGCAGAATCCCTACACAACATATACCATTATCTAAGCATTTGTTTATTTGTCGGAGTTTTTTCTGTTTCTCAGTTACTCATAACAATATATGTGTCTAATGAGGCAAAAGAGTATATTGGAAAAAACAGAGTTTCTAAAAGAGGCCTGTTTTTAAAATTTTGAATTCTGCCACTTACTACCTGAGTAATTTTGGTTAAGTTACTTGGCTAATTTTATGAGCCTTAGTTTCCTCATATAAAGATAAGGATAATGATTAATAACCTATCTTGCCTCTTATAGAGTTATTTTTTTTAATATTTATTTTTTTTAATTGTAGGTGAACGTGATATCTTTACTTCATTTTTATGTGGTGCTGAGGATCGAACCCAGGGCCTCACATGTGCTGAGCCACAACCCCAGCCCTCTTATAGAGTTATTACAAAGATATCTCAGGGTTGGCAGAGGGTATGAACTCAACTAATGATTTACCATATTGTCCTGTTATAATATTAATCTCAGATTATTGCCATTTCTTGATTTATTGTTGTTACTTTTTCAGTACTTATCTCCACAGTCTGTAAGCTCTTTGAGAGCAAGCACCATGTCTATCTTTGTGTCCCCAGAGCAAATCACAGTGCTTGGCACATAATAGGTACCCAAAAGAAATTTGTTGAATGAGTTATCAACTGAGATACTTAAAAATCAGCTTTAATAATGTAGACTGCTACATAGGTGTGTGATTTTAGATGTTCCCCCTATTATTTCTAAAGGAAACAATAAATTGGCAAATAACCAACTTAAAAATTTACTTTTGTAACACAAAAGGAGGATTTCTAAGTTCTGCTACAATAGGTTGTTTACAAACACCATCACAATTCTTTCCATCCCTGTGTCTTACCTCTTCTGCAGTGCGACTTTGTCACTCCTCCCATTAAGAAGTGGAGTCTGGGCTGGCTGGATGGATTTCTTTATTCAGCAGTATCATGCAAAAGTGATGTTGAATGACTTGCAAACCTTGGCCTCAAGCTTTTCAGCTTTCAGTCTCCTCCCTTGGAATACTGCTCTGAGACTGCTGCATGAAGGAGCCAATGTTAACCTACCAAAAATAACAGGCCACATGAAATAAATGTAAGTTTTTCCATTTGAGGCCCTTTAGGACAAATGGTACGAATTGACAGATGTGTTGGGGCCCATCTTAGGCTATCTAGTTCTAGTCAACTGCTTAATGGATCAAAATGACCACATGAATGACCCATGTAAGACCAGTAGAAGAATGGCCCAACTGAGCTATGTTCAGTACTGTGTACTGCTACATAGTAAAAGATAACTAATATACCATAATTGTAGTGCCAAAGAAAAAGCAAACCACACTTATTTACTCTTTGCTTGGTTCTAGAAGTGCCCTTAATCTTTTCTCACGGGGACTATATTTTTTAAAACCACACATTTCTCACCTTTAAAATGAGAGATACTTACCACCTAATTTCCAAATCCTTCTGAGGAAGAAGTTTCCCTTTATCACTTTACTTGTCAAATCAATGCTCCAAAAACTTAAAGATCTGCTTTTCAGCTAGAGCTTTTGAAATTCTCCAAATGGAATAAAATAGTGTCTGGTTTTAAAATATATTTTTACACAAAATGTAAAATAAGTTGCTTTGAATATGCACTGTATACACAAGAATATTCCATGCAGTGTTTTAATTATAAAAATGAAGATACAACTCAAATGCCACTAATAGTGGAATAGTCAAATTATGATACATTTAGAATCAATATAAAAGGATATTATTAGTCATTCATTAAAAGATGTGATGGCAATATATATAATGACAAGGAAAAATAGTCTTTTCATCCTAAGTGGGAAAAAAAGGTGTGTGTGTGTGTGTGTGTGTGTGTCCTCTTTTTATAAAAGAGTTTGCTTGGGGGCTGGGGATGTGGCTCAAGCGGTAGCGCGCTCGCCTGGCATGCGTGCGGCCTGGGTTCGATCCTCAGCACCACATACAAACAAAGATGTTGTGTCCGCCGAAAACTAAAATAAATAAATATTATTTAAAAAAAAAAAAAAAAAAAAAAAAAAAAGAGTTTGCTTGTTTTCCCCCTACCCCAGCTCTTACAATTGGCAATACATCCCACAAACTCTTGCTACTAGAGTCTTTCTTTCCAAACATTGCTCTCTTAGGTGGAACATTAGCAATTTGGCTTATACTTTATAATTATTAGCCGAATAATTATCTTTCACAGAATTATTTGGCTAATGAAAAATTCCTACTTTCTTTCTACCCAACATGGACAGAGTAAACACTACTTTGCTTCCCACACTCCACCCTACTATCTCTTTTTATTTCTTCTTTCCGAATTTAAAGTAGTACTGGGCAGATCAGTAGGGAGCCACTTAAAAAATATCCAGCAATTGAGATTCGTATTCATATGGTCATATGTTCTTGTAAGGGGTGATTTTCAGCCTTCATATCTTACCTGGTTTTGGAGGTAGGGTGTGGTGAGCCGTGTTTGTAGACCGTTGCCGCCATTAGAAGATGGCGCCGGTCTCCGTTGCTGCCATTAGAAGATGGCGCCGGTTTCCGTTGCGGATCTTGGTAAACAACTCCTTATTAGGGAGAGTTGGCGCGCTGTCCCTCAGTACCCTATGAGAAAACCCCGCGTGGCAGCTTTGGATTGGACTTGAGTAAGCTTTATTAGGCTGTGTGTGGGTGCGTGGGGGGAAGAGCGCTTGAGAGAAAACTAGAGTTAAGGCCTGAATAAACCACTGAAAGAAGAATCCTGTGTCGTGTCTTCCTTGCTGGCGAGGGGGTCGCGACAATTGGTGACCCGTACGGGGAACCGAACACCTCTCAATCCCAGGATCCAGAACTTTTAGCGGTCAGGGTGGTGCACCGGTAAGTTCCCAGGTAAGTGGGAATCCGCAGAAAAATTAGCGGGTCGCTCCTCTGTAAAAAGAGAGAGCGGGGATTTCTTGGACTTTCGCTTTGTTTCGCTTTATTTCTTCGCTTTCGCTTTCTGCATTAAAGCCATGGGCGCCTCTGCTTCTAGCCCTATTCTGTTAGCCCTGGATGGACTGCTACGATCTAAAGGTTTAAAAGTTAAACAGAGTACCTTGCAGATGTTCTTAAAACAAGTAGATCTGGCGGCCCCGTGGTTTGCTTACTTGGGCAGTCTCACGACCCCCAGTTGGGAAAAGTTAGGCAAGGATTTAGATTTTGCACACGAACAAGGGACCCTCGAAGGTGGGGTGATTCCTTTATGGAAGTTAGTAAGGGGTTGTTTATCTGACAGTAGGTGTCAGGATGCCCTAACCAAAGGACAGGAGGTTCTTGAACAATTGCATGAGGAGAGGTCCGAGGGAGCTGAAAGTATCAAGAGTGGGGGAAGTGATAGAGATGATAAACGTTCAAGTCAGCCAAAGACTAAACTTTATCCAGATTTGACTGAATTGAAAGCCTTTGAGGAAGACAGTAGTTCAGACAATGAGGAAGTATTGGAATTGCTGTCATGGCAAGCTAGAGAGAAAAGGGGAAAAGGTGAAACTCAAGGGCGAGGTGATCCCCGTAAGGCTGTCTACACAGAACATAAGTACCCAAAGACAGATGTGGGATATGAGGAAGAGGGGGAGGATGATTTGGAGATTCCTCCTGACCCTCCACCCTATCCTAACCCAGGACTCAATAGGACGTTTCATGCACAAACATGGAGAAAGGTTCATTCGGACATGGGTCTAGCATTCCCTGTGTTCCAAGATGCCAATCGGGGGCGATATCATGAACCCCTTGACTTTAAAATTGTCAAGACATTGGCTGAATCAGTCCGAACCTATGGTGTGGATGCTGCATTTACACTTACCCAGGTGGAGGGCCTTTCTCGCTTTTGTATGACTCCATCTGATTGGGCGAGCCTGGTGCGCGCCTGTGTTTCTCCAGGAAAGTATCTGGATTGGAGAGCATTTATGTTAGAGGGGGCAGTAGAGCAGGTGGCCCAAAACCATGCGGCGGGATGCCCTGCCTGGGATAAGGACATGCTTTTGGGACAGGGCAGATTTGCCAATCAACAAACAGGGTACCCACCGGAAGTATATGAGCAAATCAACAACATCTGCATCCGAGCCTGGAAGTCCTTGCCTAACAGAGGGGAAGTATCTGGTAATCTAACTAAGATCATTCAAGGCCCCACAGAGCCTTTTTCTGACTTTGTGGCTCGGATGGTAGATGCAGCGGGGGAAAATATTCGGGGACCCTGATAGAGCTATGCCTTTGATCAAACAACTTGTTTTTGAACAATGTACTAAGGAATGCAGAGCAGCTATAACCCCATATAAAAATAAAGGAATAGAGGCATGGATGAAAGTCTGTAGGGAAATAGGTGGGCCCCTTACTAATGCAGGGTTGGCTGCTGCCGTTCTCCAGCTAACCCGAAAACCACCCCCTCATACAGGAAAGTGTTTTAGATGTGGCCAGGAGGGACATTTTAAGCGTGATTGTCCCCGAACATGTCAATTACAGGACAAAAAGGGGTCATCCTCAATTGTTCGCCAGCCAGGACTATGTCCTCGTTGCAAGAAGGGTAAACATTGGGCTAATGAATGCAGATCAGTCAAGGACATTCATAGACAGCCAATATCAGATAGACAGATGCCAAAAAACGGCCGGAAGGGCCCTCGACCTCAGGGCCCACAAATATATGGGGCAATGGAGAATGGGACAATGGAGGGCGAAACATGGCCATCTCTATGACATCCCAAAGATCGCGGAGAACCACTACAGGTGCCGAGGGGCTGGACCTCTGTTCCGCCTCCCGACTCGTATTAACACCTAAAATGGGAGTCCAATTGGTGGAAACTGACTTTAAAGGACCTTTGCCACCTGGTACTGTAGGGTTGTTAGTTGGGCATGCTTCTTCCGCTTTACAAGGCCTTTACATCTTCCCTGGAATTATTAATCCAGATACTGTAGGAACAGTAAAGGTTATGGTAGAAGCTCCGAAAGGTATTGTGTCCATCTCCCCAGGAGACCGGATTGCTCAATTGTTAATTCTACCCAGTCTACATACCAGTTTTCCTGCTGGCTCCCATTTGAGATTAAACGATAAGATTGGAACAACGGGGGGGAAATTGTGTATTTTTGTCCTTAGAAATGGATGACCGTCCCACATTAAAATTAACTATAGAAGGCAAATCAATTTTAGGATTACTGGATACTGGAGCAGATCGTAGCATAATAGCAATGAAGGACTGGTCAAAGGAGTGGCCAGTGCAACTCTCAGATCAATCGCTGAGGGGTTTAGGATATGCTCAAGCTCCACAAGTCAGCTGTAGACATCTATCATGGAAAGATTCTGAAGGACATTCTGGCATTTTTCAACCATATGTGCTTGATCTTCCAATCTCCCTATGGGGACGTGATCTTATGAAGGACATGGGGTTTCAACTTAGTAATGAATACTCAGCAGTTGCCCAAAAGATAATGCAAGACATGGGATATAGACCAGGTCTTGGATTAGGTAAAAATTTACAGGGACGTAGACGTCCCATACAATCAATACCAAAACTTAACAGACATGGGTTGGGTTTTTCTTAGGGACCGCTGAGGAACAGGTGCCCATTACCTGGAAGTCAGGGGAGCCGGTGTGGGTGCCTCAGTGGCCACTCTCCTCTGAAAAATTGACTGTAGCTCATACTTTAGTTCAAGAACAGTTAAAGTTAGGACATATAAGGCCATCCACTTCTCCTTGGAATACACCCATCTTTGTTATAAAGAAAAAGACTGGAAAATGGCGGTTGCTGCACGATCTACGGGCTATTAATGCTCAAATGCAACTCATGGGATCTATTCAGAGAGGGTTGCCTCTGATTTCTACTATCCCTAAAAATTGGCCAGTGATATGTATAGACATTAAAGATTGTTTCTTTTCCATCCCATTGCATCCTCTAGATTCAGAACGTTTTGCTTTCACCTTGCCTTCGTGTAATCACGAGGAGCCTGATCAGAGGTTTGAGTGGGTGGTTCTGCCGCAGGGCATGGCAAATAGTCCTACCGTGTGTCAAATGTTTGTAGGTGCGACTATTGCTCCACTCAGACAAAAATATCCATCATTAAGGTGTGTACATTATATGGATGATATTTTGTTAGCAGCAAAGACCCAATGTATGTTGGAGGCCGCTTATACTGACTTGGTACATTTGCTACAGTTAAAAGGCTTGCTTATTTCACCTGATAAGGTACAGATGGGGGACTCCATTAATTATCTTGGTGCTACTATCTCTTGTAAAGCTATCACACCCCAAAAGATAACTCTGAGGACTGATAAATTACAGACACTAAATGATTTCCAAAAATTATTGGGTGATATAAATTGGATTAGAAGTTACCTACATATTCCCAATGTTGAATTAAAACCTTTGTATGAAATTCTTAAAGGTGATTCAGATCTTACTTCCCCTCGACATCTTACTGAGGAAGCCAGGTCAGTGTTGCTTAAAGTGGAAGAGGCTATACAACATGCTAGCCTTTGTAGGTTTCAAGAGGATAAACCTCTTCAATTATGTGTGCTCGCCACTGAGCGACAACCTACTGGAGTTTTATGGCAAGATGGTCCTTTACTGTGGATACATCCACGTATGTCCCCTGGAAAATCCCTTGAGTATTATCCTGATGCAGTTGCTTCCTTAGCTATGTTAGGGATACAACAAAGTGTGCAATTTTTTGGTTTCTCTCCAACGTCTGTGATTGTTCCTTATACATGTCAACAAATTCTGGTCTTATGTGCTAACTTAGATAATTGGACTATATTACGATGCTCTTTTTTAGGAGAGATAGATAATCACTATCCATCACATCCTCTTATTACATTTGTTAAGGAACATCCTATCATTTTCCCTAAAATCACTTCTTCTACGCCTATTCCAGGCGCTGCAAATATCTTTACAGATGGATCTAAGACTGGTATTGGAGCCTATGTGGTAAATGATCAGCCTCCTATTCAACATCAGTTTGCTCCTGGTAATCCACAATGGGTGGAACTGCAAATTGTCATAAAAGTTTTTGAACAATGTCCATTTCCTTTTAATTTAATCTCAGATTCTGTTTATGTAGTTCAAGCTTTAAGGGTGTTGGAAGCAGTGGGTTCCATACACTCATCAGGAGTAATGTCTTCCCTTTTTCTTCATCTTCAAACATTGATTTGGAATCGTTCCGCCTGTTTTTACCCCTTGCATATTCGAGCCCACACAGGTTTACCGGGTGCTCTTTCTGCGGGCAATGCCCAGGCAGATCTTGCTACTCGTCCTTCTTGGGTGTTCCCTATTTCCTCCTTAGATCAAGCTAAAAACTTTCATAGTAAGTTTCATATTAATGCACGAGCACTTCAGAAACGCTTTACCATCTCCCGTGCTGATGCTGGACAGATTGTGTTGGATTGTCCTAACTGTGTGATTTTACATCATCCTCCTTCTATAGGCTTAAATCCTCGTGGTTTACGGCCCTTAACTATATGGCAAATGGGTGTTACTCATGTTCCTGACTTTGGTAAACTTAAATATGTCCATGTATCTGTAGATACTTGTTCTGGCATTATCTATGCTTCCGCTTTGTCTGGGGAAAAAGCTGGAAATGTTATCACACATTGCTTGGAAGCTTGGGCAGCCTGGGGATTACCACAGTCCATTAAGACGGACAATGGTCCAGCATATACTGGGCGACAATTTTCTTCCTTTTGCAGCCAGATGGGTATCCAACTTGTCCATGGTTTACCTTACAATCCACAAGGCCAGGGTATTGTAGAGCATGCTCATAAGACTCTAAAAGAGATGTTACTAAAACAAAAAGGGGGAATTGGCTTAGACCACTCCCTGAAAGAGCGCCTCTCCCTGGCTCTATTTACTATCAATTTTTTAAATTTGGACATTCAAGGGCGCTCTGCTGCAGATAGACATTGTTCGCCCTCTGCCCCGAATTTTGGGTATGTTAAGTGGAAAGATGTCCTTTCCAGGCAATGGTATGGGCCTGATCCCGTGCTGGCATGGGCACGAGGTTCTGTCTGTGTTTTCCCACAGGACCGAGCGGAGCCGGTGTGGATCCCTGAACGACTAACGAGAAAAGTCTCAAAGATAACTGACCAACAACGGGGGACCCTACAAGAGTCCAACGATGAGACTCTTCATTCTGCTGAGTATCCTGGCCCTATCACAGACGATAATGGTCCAGATGTTACCGATGCAGTGGTGGGCGGTAGCTCGGACATGGCTGATGCCGATGCCGGTCCATAAAAATTCTAGTGTCCTCCCCACTCTTTTTTCTACTTCATGTGAGATGTCTGCCCCTTGTGTCTCCCCTAGAGGAGACGGGGAACGGGTTTTCAACCTTTCTCGTGTTAATCTCACGGGAGTTTTCTGCTTCAGTTTCTTGAGAACCCGTTGTATTCGCTTACAGCGCAACAATTTGACCAATTGGGAGGACCCCTTACAGAACAGTAGGGTCTCACTGGGAATCTTGTCTGGGGTGCTTGACCAAGTGGCAAAAGGGAAACAGGAGGGCTCAGGAGAGACTACAAATTCGACCAAAATGAATATCACCACTTTGGCTATGATTTCCCAGGTGTCACTCCCGGTGGCTTTTTCTAATGCTAGTAATGCCACTTATTTTAAGGCCTCTCCTTATTGTACCCCGTACTATTCTTTCCCCCCCGACATTCACGCCTTGTCAAGATCATTCTTGGGAGAGGCGCAAAGTTGCTGTGGGTTTTTCTCTTTCTCCTTCTCTTAAAAGGTATTTGTATGATTCTTCCAAGGAGAATTCCACTGCAGGAACAGGCTGGTCTTGGTTTCAATGGTTGATTTCTAATGAAAAGGGGGCCACAGCCGATGTCTCTGCTCTGGCCCAATTGAGAGGAGTCCAGAGCTGCCTGTTTAATGTGTCTGGCTCTGTACAGGACACT